GGGGGGGGGGCACCCATAAGAAGGTCAGTATATCAAGAAATGAACTCAGTCCAACGTGTTAGTCCTTGTTATAATAGCACTGTATCGGGTGCGGAAGAATGATGAGGGAACCGACCACCAGTTCTCTTTTATGCGGTTTCAGCTAAGGTAATTTAGTTTCCCAAATAAGCCTAGGTAGGGTAGGAGCATCTGGGTGGCTGGATGATTACCTCCTGCAAATATAGGAGAGAAAACTTGCCCACCGCGGTGCCTCTTCCCTACGAAATATTTGAAACGGGCTTGTCCGTGATATAACACGACATGACACGTTTCATTGAGTTCATTTCTTGATATACTAGCCTTTAAATGGGTGCTCCCCTCCCCCCCTCCCAACTACATTTTCACCCAAATGAGGATTCAAATCGCAAACCAAGGAACCAACACACAAAAGTAACTGAAAGGGTTCAGCCTTACAATTGCTCATTCTACTATCCATATAATCTGACTCAATGTGTTTATCTGTGTGTGTGTGGCCAATCCCAAACGATAACTCTTGCCCCCTAGACCCAGAGTGTGCAAATCTGGAAGGAATACAGGCGGCAGGAAGGGAACACTGATAGTAGGTGATAAGAAAAGATAATAATTGATAGGAATTGAGAAGAAGCCTTAGGAGACAAGATACACTGTACTCGTTCTTCACCTCGTGCTAACAGTTTCCTTGGCACCTTGGTAGGGTGCGGGATGTAAACGCACCGGAAATGATTGGTGACAGGGATCGACCAAAACGTCATAGGAATTGATAACGAGCCATAGAAGGCTAGAGCCACTAGGTCCAAAGTGCCCGTTGTGTCATCAGTGGGCTTGGGCATCTTTTAGGTGATGAAGGATGTAAAGGGATCGACAGGAACTGGTAAGTACTGGCCAGAACTGATAAGGAACCATAGAAAGCATAAGTCAATTACCACTTTAACCCTATCGCCTTTCGTATTCACAGGGTGGTCCCTCTCTGTTTCATTCGATAAGAAGGGACGGTAAAGTACGGTGACAAAAAATGAGTGGTAAGTATAATGACAGAGACTCATTCAAGGCACTGGCTGCTTTCATAATCCGCCGGCCGTGGGCGGCGCTTGCCACTTGTTTACAACTGAATCTTGATCGATACCGCAGGCCGAGTAGTCCCCCGGCGGGCGCGCGCGCTCGCTCGCTGAGTGGCGACGGACTATGAAAACAGCCACTGCTCCGCAACAAAATGATAATTTGATTCTTTTCTTGTTGTTAGACTCCTACCGCTACTCAGCAATATTTGGAACTCAATCAAGGATCACTGTTTCTTTTTATTTCGATATCATTTGTTGCAAAACTTATCCGACCGCCAATAATCTAAGATTCTCAACTAATGATATATCCGTATAGAAAGAAGTTTCATCGACAGCGACATCTGATAATGGTGATAATGTTGTTATCACTTGACAACATCTGTGCAGGCTATTCCAGGCTTTGGATGCCTGACAGTCAAATCTTCAATGAGCGATTGTTTGTAAGACAAAGGACAATACTTCTAATCATAGGCATGAGCCTCAGTATAAGCTGAATACCGATTGCCCCATCAATCCTGTAACAAACTACTGTTCATAAAAGTATCAACTGCTCCGAGTAAGGAATGGCGGGTTAGCCGATTACTACACCTTCGTCATAGGAAGGATGGAAGTGCGGTGTTACTCGGGCGATTTCAGTGATTTCCTACCAATGACCCTGGTCACAGATCAGCTTTTCGTAATAGAAATGGTGGACCTATCGTATCCATGATAAGTGTGCAGAAACGAAAATTGATTGGGGGAATCTAGTTCTTACAGTAGTTTTCCAGTGGACGAAAATGCAATACAACAAAATTTTACACACGAAATATTTCATTCCACGACACAATTTTATTTGCTTACATAAATCCTCAAAATTTCGCAAGTATGGCGTATCGAAAGAAGATTTCGACCCGCGGTTTGTGTTGCGCCACATCCACACGTCTAAGCCAGAACCCATACCTGGATCACTGTGGCGTTCCTTTGCCGAGAATGGATTCCCTACAGTAATACGGTGTAGGTTCCTTCCCTTAGTCATTTCTATGCCAGGAACGATTGAACGGCTATGTTCGGGATGCAATTATGTTAACAAGTTGTACGATCAATTTGTAGACTTGAAATAACTGGTATGCAACATGATCATGGGTAGGTTCAAATTTGATTCCACAAGTTATCTTGTCTTATCTTATCGGGATTACCACCATGCCCCCTCAAATGAATACGCAGCAAGGTGTGGTTCATTTTGCGCACAT